GTTAATTCAGTTGCTTAGTTTGGACGCTGTTACTATTTACTTCAAATGTCACGACATTTTCAAATCTGTGCAAAGGCTCACAGACTAAAGGAAATGAATGCGTATTGTACAATGATACCACTGTACTAAGCGCTACACTGTACATGTATATACAAATGTCTTAGTACTTACTAAGAACCATCACAAGAAACAACTTCATGCTTGTCAACGAGATGTCGCAAGCCAAATCTACAGTCTGGCTGGAAGTGATTGTTGTTTAACAAGCACGCACTAAATATCCTTTCCAATTACAGATGATGTTTAAATGGTAGCAGCTGGTATTCATATAAAGGAGTTTAATTTTCATATTATTTTTTCCATAATGAAAAATGTATTCGGGTTTCTTAATAAAACAAATGGCATTTGATTATATTACATAAAATAAATATCCTTTATGATTACAGTGTATGATAAGGTTGGGTGAGACATTGGATCACAACACGAGCAATACGTGCAAGGCTGCCTTTTTGTGTGACAAGTCGATTAATGTGCGATTCAAGTGCACGGAATTACAAAGATTGACTGACTGACTGAGTTTGGTTTTACGCCGCTTTAAGCAATATTCCAGCAACATCACGGCGGGGACATCAGAAGTGGGCTTCACGGAATTACAAAGACGTAACAGATGAAGGAAATAGGGTCCTTTTGTTATATTCATGTACGATTAGTTACCATGTTGTATCAAGTATTTACGGTCTATATGATTGGAGTCAAAATATTCTAACATCTGTGATTCGGAACGACATTTATATGGGGAAGTCGTAGTGTTTCTAAAATTTCGAAGGTAACATTAACAAATTACCACAATCTACTTACAAACAAGACTTTACTTACACGGGAAATCTAAACTGTCTAGCAGCTGTGCAGGAAGCATGGCTTATATCACAAAGATCAGGGTTCGCTACATACGACGTTTATAGCATACCGATGAGACTGGGAGGATCTCAAGAGGCGCCCACCCAATCAATCCCTTTATTGGTGCGAGATTATATCATTTATATCAGAATCATTTATAGAGACAAAACCCTTTCCACCTTCTAATGTGACTATGTCACATGTTATTTGTGAAGTAGACAATGCTGTATGCTTTGTTTTGCACATGAGTACAAAAATAACTATGCATAAACAGCATTACATTGTAGGTTAATGCTAGTTACTCACGAGGATCTGGATTCCAGGGCAGCACCATATACGAGTATGCCGTGAGTGAGTGAGTGAAGGTGAGTGAGTGGGAGTGGTGAGTGAGTGAGTGAGTGAGTGAGTGAGTGAGGTGAGTGAGTGAGTGAGTGAGGTGAGTGAGTGAGTGAGTGAGTGAGTGAGTGAGGTGAGTGAGTGAGTGAGTGGTGAGTGAGTGAGTGAGGTGAGTGAGTGAGTGAGGTGAGTGAGTGAGTGAGTGAGTGAGTGAGTGAGTGAGTGAGTGGTGGTGAGTGGTGAGTGGTGGTGAGTGGTGAGTGAGTGAGTGAGTGAGCGAGCGCGTACCTGCACTAGGCAATATTCAGTGAAGACAACCGTTACAATCGCGTCACTAAAACATTCAAATTTGAAAAAATACACAAAGGGCGACGAATACCCGTTAGGGATTAATTTCACGTGCTCCACGTTACACGCCAACACAGACAAGTGTTTTCATAGTGAGTGAGTGAGTGAATGAGTTTAGTTTTATACCGCACTCCGCAATATTTCAGCTATATGGCGGCGGTCTGTAAGTAATTGAGTCTGGACCAAACAATCTAATGATCAACAACATAAGAATCGATCTACGAAACTGGGATACGATGACGTGTGTCAATCTAGTAATCGAGCCTGACTACCCGATCCCGTTAGCCGCCTCTTACGTAGTAGTAGTAGTAGTAGTAGTAGTAGTAGTAGTAGTAGTAGTAGTAGTATTTACACAAAATATTTACACAAACCCGCAAAATTGCGGCAACGACACGGATTTCCCTCCTGCTTGTTTCCACTTTATCTAGATGAATATATACATTAACTATATATATATATATATATATATATACATCCCGATATGACATAGGTGGCCACTTATAACGCTCTTCAGGTTCCAACTATATCTACATATATCACTCTCGCGTTTACGTATTCAGTATTGTAAAATTGATTCTATTCACGGTAACATCAGTTTTAACATCTGGAACATTTTGTTTAATGCAAAAGTCGCTGTAGCTGAACGGGTTAGGCGACTGACTTTGTGTGCTGGCGATTAGGTGCCAGAGGGTGTGAGTTCGAATCCCGGATGGGTCTCAACCCAACAAAATTACTATAATCTGTAACAGATTTTACATTTGATGACTTTCAAAATGGCATTGTGTAATCAATTAAGTGTTTTAGCCGAGTATCACAACCAGGCTAGCAGAAGAGAAAAGGATTTATTCCCACATTGTATTTGCTTTTACATTTGAATTAGACGATCTGTTGTTCTGCGCATGTTTCTCTCGCCGTCTTCTCATCATTCCCTTTCATGCAAGTACAGCTCCTCCCATTTTTCCTTCTCAACAACAGTGATAAGAATGGAGCGATAAGACAGCATGAAAGTATCTTGCTCATTGGGTGACTGAGAACTCGATGCCGGGAATAATATATTTCTTATTCCATTCATGTTGGGAATGCCTGAAGACGATGACAAGGCCGGATGGTATGGGCCGACAACAAACATGGGTCATCAAAGTTGTAGATGGAGATAATGATAGAATATTTTCCATGTTGCGCTCAGATTGAATAGACGCTGATATTCAATGAACAAGCCGTGGTGCTACATTAGAAACTATGGGCCTATGATTTAATGCATCTGGATACCGACTAAGACATGGATACTTCAAACTGGACGCGTGCGTCGCTCGGATGGTTCTCGGTACGTCGCCGACACGGAAGCACCGCGTAATACCGTAACCATCCGGATACCTGCGTGTTCGCTGCTCGTGCGCCATATGCATCGCCGAAATGGGCAGAAGGAAAGACGAATACGATGGAACTGCGGGAACCGGAGATAAAATATCCGTTAACCATCGCGAAAGCGGAAGGATCTTCGCGACATAATATTCGATTTCCGAACTGGAATCTGGCTGTGATCCTGCGCCCTTGCGAAAACGTTGGAACGCATTTTCATGCGCGTATTGAACGCCGACATTGACGCTGCGACATTCCTGACCGTTCACAGACGTCGATTCGTCATTCGGACTTTATTTAGATTTCCGTCATGAACAGGCGCCGTTGGAAGGACGCAAACGTATGCCATCCGGATAGGTAAAGATTACAGAATTTATCTGGTAGAAGTAGTCAGACATGTTAAAATTGTTCACTGGCCAATTTGGCCGTTGCCATTGCACCAGGTTAGATTGTTTGAAAAATGCTGAAAAATTAGCCATTACACAAAGGGTACACAACGTCAACCAAACGTAATGGCACAAGCTGATTAAGAAGTGGAACTGATTGACAGATGATGTAAATACTGGTAGTGGAAGGGTTAGACGGATGATGACAGGAATACTGGTAGTGGAAGGGCTAGACAGATGATGACCATGGAAACACTGGTAGTGGAAGGGGCTAAGACAGATGATGACCAGAATACTGGTAGTGGAAGGAGGCTAGACAGATGATGACAGAATACTGGTAGTGGAAGGGTTAGACAGATGATGACAGAATACTGGTAGTGGAAGGGTTAGACAGATGATGACAGAATACTGGTAGTGGAAGGAGCTAGACAGATGATGACGGAATACTGGTAGTGGCAGGGTTAGACAGATGATGACAGAATACTGGTAGTGGAAGGGCTAGACAGATGATGACAAGAATACTGGTAGTGGAAGGGCTAGACAGATGATGACAGAATACTGGTAGTGGAAGAGGTTAGACAGATGATGACAGAATACTGGTAGTGGAAGGGGCTAGACAGATGATGACAGAATACTGGTAGTGGAAGGGAGCTAGACAGATGATGACAGAATACTGGTAGTGGAAGGGTTAGACAGATGATGACAGAATACTGGTAGTGGAAGGGCTAGACAGATGATGACAGAATACTGGTAGTGGAAAGGAGCTAGACAGATGATGACAAGAATACTTGTAGTGGAAGGGTTAGACAGATGATGACAGAATACTGGTAGTGGAAGGGCTAGACAGATGATGACAGAATACTGGTAGTGGAAGGGTTAGACAGATGATGACAGAATACTACTGGTAGTGGAAGGGCTAGACAGATGATGACAGAATACTGGTAGTGGAAGGAGCTAGACATGATGACAGAATACTGGTAGTGGAAGGGTTGACAGATGATGACAGAATACTGGTAGTGGAAGGGTTGACAGATGATGACAGAATACTGGTAGTGGAAGGGGTTGACAGATGATGACAGAATACTGGTAGTGGAAGGGGTTGACAGGAGGAATACTGGTAGTGGAAGGGGTTGACAGAATACTGGTAGTGGAAGGGTTGACAGATGATGACAGAATACTGGTAGTGGAAGGGGCTAGACAGATGATGACAGAATACTGGTAGTGGAAGGGCTAGACAGATGATGACAGAATACTGGTAGTGGAAGGGTTGACAGATGATGACAGAATATACTGGTAGTGGAAGGGCTAGACAGATGATGACAGAATACTGGTAGTGGAAGGGTTGACAGATGATGACTAGAATACTGGTAGTGGAAGGGTTGACAGATGATTTGAAATACAGGTACCGGAAGGGTTAGAGACAGTTTGGAATACTGGTAGTGGAAGGGCAGAGACAGGTGATTCGTAATACATAAAGTGGAAGGGTTAACAGTAGTGGCAGGGCTAGACAGATGTTAGGAGATACTGGGAGTGGAAGCGCTTGAGAAATGTTTGATAGTGGCTGTGGAAATCTTAAACAGATGGTTGGGAATTCTATCAGAGGATGGGCCAATCCGACGATTGGGAAGAAGTGAACGATGCTAGCCTTATTAGCCAGAGATTTTCAGTGTCGCTTACCAGGCCGTTCCGTTCTGCCATGTCTCCCTCGTGCAGTGACAGATTGAGCGGTCAACAGGCCGACTGAAATTGAACAATATCAAGCCTATAAGCGATACTAAATACTGCAGTTCAATACTAAGCGCCTGTGTCACGGCCGCTTCTGTCAATCACGTTACACCCAAATACACCTAGTATACTACTGCCTTAAAGTTACCATGCACGTGTTGAGAACGCATGAAAACGTATGTGATACGCGTGCTCACGGGGTTGCACACGAAGTGATCATCCATTGCAAATGCGTGTGCCACGGATGTTGGGCTTGGCTGTAAATTCAGCAATAGTGCCCTAGTGTTTCCGAGTACCTTGCGTTCATTTAACTCTGTGAAACAAGAGAAGGGGACGCCTTGGAGTATAAAAAGTCTCTGTGTGTCTGAGTGGGGTTTACATTTTAAAGGGCAAGTTTACACGAACATATACCATTTTGACTTCATTTTGTCAACAGTAAAAGCATTCTTTTCGTGGGTTCAAAGCCAAAAGAGTATAGATATCATAAGTAACAAATTTAGTTTCTACATTATATCGATTCAAAGCTCTATTTTACACATATTTTCATGCTATTAGTTTCACTATGTATTTCTCTGGCATTGGAACTAGGCACGAGACCAATCTGAATCATTTGGGACCAATTACGTCATAATCTAAGTTGGGTAACTCTGACCTTTTTAGCTCTGAAAGCAAAAGCTTCATAATGGCATAACATTTCAACACGTCAGCGTATTTCAACATGTCAGTGTATAGCTTCTAACATTGATAGTAATTACATGTAATTTTAAAATTCCCTTTGTTTTCACACAGGAAAAGGAGTTATTTTTTCGTGTACACTTCCCCTTATCTTGCGGCATGGAATCGCAAATGGCTGGCACTAAACAGAGAATATATACACCTACGAGGAGATAGAGATATAAGGCATTAACCATCGTGATCATGATCAACAGTAGCATCTGCAAACGTTTGATTTGAGAATGTGAAATTGATTTTTTGTTAAATCAGTTGCTTCCTTCAGTTGTTCGGTTTGGACCCTATGACGGATAATTTCTATTGTCATGACATGCTCAAATCTGCTGCACTGACTGACTGACTGACTGACTGAGTTTGGTTTTACGCCGCTTTTAGCAATATTCCAAGCAACATCACGGCAGGGGACACCAGAAATGGGGCTTCACACATTGTACCCATGTGGGATTCGAACCCGGGTCTTTCGGCGTGACGAACCAACGCTTTAACCATTAGGCTACCCACCGCCCCTCAAATCTGCTGCAAAGGCCAACAGACTAAATCAAATATATGCGTATCGCACAATGATACCATTGTACTAGGCACTGCACTGTACACATATATGCAAAAGTCTTAGTACTTACTCAGAACCATCACAAGAAACAACTACATGTTTGTCAACGAGATGTCGCAAACCAAATCTACAGTCTGGCTGGAAGTGATTGTTGTTTAACAACCTGGCACTAAATATCCTTTCGAATTACAGAGGGATGTTTGAATGGTAGCAGCTTGTATTCGTATAAAGGAGATTTATTTTCATATTATTTTTTCCATAATGGAAACTGTATTCGGATTTCTTAATAAAACCGATTCACATTTTATCATGTTACGGATGAATGTGCCTTATTATTACACTGTATAAAAGGTTGAGTGAGACATCGGCTTGTCAACTCACAAGTATTATGTGCAAGGCTATTTGTTTCTACTCTATTAAGTCGACAGAATGTCCATTAATGTGTAATTCATCTTGTGCACTTAATTACAAAGGAACGCTACAGTTTAGTATCAGGGTCCTGTTGTTATATTCATTTAAGATAATGGTTACGTTATATCCAGCATTTGCACTCTGTATAATTGGACGGATTCCAAATACTCTAACATATGTGTTTATATACATATACATGGGGAAGTTGCAAGTATGTCTGTTACTGAGAAGGTTTGATTAACCACAAAATTACCACAATGCAAAGCTGTACTTACAAAACGAATCCACACATAAAATGTCTAGGTGCATGTAAGTTAGTTCTTATCACGAAGACCGGGATTCAATACATACCACGTTGATAAGATAAATATTTTAAAGAAAATAATCAGTGATAACCCACTTGAAATGAAAGTTTTTGACAAAGCATATAGACCATACTCACTTAAAGAGTGTACTCATGGTGCCACGTGTAGAACCAACTGGCTTCATCAGGAACACCCTAATCGTAACGTGTAACGTTTAATCGCATACAATTAGTTGCAGCAGAGTTGTAGCAGAAATGGAAATTGTCCTACTCCAAGTCCGCAGGCCCGCAACCAATAAAATCGCTTAGATCCACCTCACCGCAGGCCCGCAACCAATTAAATCGCTTAGATCCACCTCACTGCAGGCCCGCAACCAATTAAATCCGCTAAGATCCACCTCACCGTAGGCCCGCGACCAATTAAATCCTTAGATCCACCTCACCATAGGCTCGCGACCAATTAAATGGCTTTAGATCCACCTCACCGTAGGCCCGTGACCAATTAAATCACTAAGATCCATCTCAAAGTCACGACCCTTTGTTTGTGTCCACATGATGTCGGAGACGAGCCTGAAAAAAGAAACTGCACGGGGTTCGCCCTGAGGATCTAGCTGCGAACCCAGTTTAGGCTTTCTTTTTTTCCTTTTGTAGTGACTGTGATGTGTGTGCTGTCATTACGCCAACGTATTTTCTTCATTTGACAAATCCATGTAAGACAAGTCAGGGGAAGACAATAATGCAAGATGCGAGTTGTATGCGACTTAAAACTACTCAATAAACAAATTCGATACGATATTTATTGTCACTATAAGTCTTGTTGCTAGAGTGAGTGAGTGAGTTAATATTTAACGTCACATCGGCAATATCTCAGCCATATCGTCTTGTTGCTAGAACTTTTTAAAGTGCAGCTTAAATAAGTCCCCACTTTAGTACAAACCCGACATTGTTGCGAAGACTTCGTTCTGTGATCTTAACAATGTACATGACTGTTTGAATATAAAACAAATTCAAGCATTTAAAATTGACTTCATCATTTGTGGCACGCAACTGAACTTGTTCAGAAGTGATTGTCATGAACACAAGTCATTTGCGCAAGTTGTTCTGTATGTGCGGAAAGTAGTTTTTTTCTTTACCTGAAACTTCTCATAAAACAAGATTGGGGTCTCACAAAGGATTACATATGTATTTACAATAATGATAATACTAAAATGTACATAGAGTGGAAATCCAATAGTACTATTACCACTATTTGCCAACTCAAACCTGAAATCATAAACACCAGGCCAAACGTGTCAACGCATTCTCCAAGGATATCCAATTTGCCCACCGTAACCGTTCGCTGAGAATTACAAACACCACAACTATCACAAGCAGGACGTGAACATCGCTTTTGTGAACACCTTTTGTCATCGATGACTTACAGCATTTCTTTCATATAATGTCCACCTCTGCTTGCCATTTACTTCCAATGGAATCTTTTCCATTGTTAAAACAAGACTAAACATACTCTGGCGTTGACGTTCAAACTTACAAAATTCAATGCTTCAGTTTTGAAGCTGAAGTCTTTGTGTTTCATCAAAACCCATCAGTGGCATTATCTAAGCTGTAGGAACTGCAACAGTGGTCGGCCGATAAATTGAAACTCCCTCCTAACGTCATATAAAAAGAATATGTGTCTTGTATTCCAGTTTTAAGTAGCAAAACTCTTACAAAGAAGACGTAATTAAAAATAATATATTTGCCATTGTCACGAATACCCGGGGTCATCGCAATGTTCAATAGTCCGTACATATCATATCCACCGCTATTTTATCTTTAGCGGTCCGTACATATCATATCTACCGCTATTTTATCTTTAGCGGTCCGTACATATCATATCTACCGCTATTTTATCTTTAGCGGTCCGTACATATCATATCTACCGCTATTTTATCTTTAGCGGTCCGTACATATCATATCCACCGCTATTTTATCTTTTGCACTCAATGAAACCTGGAATTTTATTTGTGGGCGTTCAGGATAACCATTCACATGTTCTTCTTTGAAGTATGAGTTTAAATCTGAGGAAATTTCAAACACTTCAAATTTGTCACTACGAGGCCCTTGTTAAATATCTTAAATTAGATCAAAATGAATTTCCAATGTCCCCTAACTTTACGTTACCTGCAAACCCTTCGAAAATACCAAAGTAATAAAGAAATGGTCACATGTATAACCCAGTAGACATATAAACAATCTGGAAAGTGGGATTGATGTGACTGAGACATTAAACCCTGACCACAACTTTGATGTAAAACAAATCTATTTCAGAAATGCGTTAGTAAAAGCAAAGGAATATCTGAGTGGGTGAGTGAGTTAATATTTAACGTCACATCGGTAATGTTATCCACGTTTCAGCCATATTTTAGTCGTTGATAAAGAATCTGTGCATATTATAAAATCTGTCGTCAAAGGGACAGTAAAACAACTAGATTATCAGTTAGAATTAAAACAACTAAACTAAAAACAAATAACATTTTTTAGACAATACAATATAAAAACAGGCTATAGATTGCCAACAAGCGAAGGTAGATCACAATAAGGAATGTCTGAACTTCTATGCACCAGTCATTATTCATAATTCAACAAGTGGATTTTTTGGTTCATCGAAGACTTGATGGTCTGGTTTATAACAGTGGCGATGTGGTAACCTTGCAGTTAAAGCGTTTTTCTCGACCCAAGTTCAAATCCCCACATGGGTGAAAAGAGTAAGGTCCATTTTATGGTGTCCTCCGCCGTAAGCAAAGTTGGAATGTTGCTTAAAGCGGCTTAAAAAACATACTCACGCACTGGGTTGTCCATAGACCGTCGTTGCATGGCAGAATTACTGCTGTAAGGCGTCAGATTGTAAATACTTACATATCTTCGTGAATGAATGTCATGAATGAAGGGTGCTACCAACATGGCCGGACATGCTTACCCTTTATACGGACACATGGGTGTCACCACCCATGTTCAGTGGACCATTCATATGATTTTCACAGTTATATTGCCATTCACACCAAAATAGATTTGTTTAAGGATAGTCGAAAATGGGTATTTTTTAAACTGACTATGTATATTTTCAACACCAGAGAAACATGTAGCGTCGTTTGTTGTCTTGGAGTTTTTCGTCCGGGTAATTTTTAATATTCTTGAACAAGTCCCTCCATATATGACGATTCGTCATGTTTTTCTAAAATTATACTTCACTATTTAGGGGTTGTTTATATTTTGTTAATTTAAAGATCGATTGGAGGCAGAAGGAACCAACTTCCAGTCCCTGCAAATGGGTGCAACTCCATTGTCACAGTCCTTAATATTGCTGCTGTATTGTGTGTTTTAAAGGCACTGCCATCTGTATAATAACTGTATGGCATTACATAGGACCTTCAATGGTTGATTATTTTACATTTGTATTTTCTTGTCTTATCTACTTTGTACCGAAGTGGTTTCAAATTATTGTTATGTGGAATGGCCACTCCCTTTGCATTAGCTTATTTCGGGCAAATATACTTTTGCGATCCCACATTAACGACATCTGTTTTGCAAATTTCATTATTTGTTTCGATTACAAAACCTTTACAGTATCCAATGTCACAATTTCAATTTGTAATCTGTTATTGTACGGTATGGGGGTTCTAGCGTCTAAAACATAATCTATATTGGTTTTGGCCTTCTTTGACTCTCTAACGAGGAATTATTCACTATTTCAAATAATTATATTATGTTTGTATGCTTCAGTGTATATGAGTTATACATGGCGGGTATGCAGTAAATACATTACGTCCGTTCTTGGCCATGAAGATGGGAAAATAAAGGCCACGTGTAAAATAAGCCAGCTGTCAAGAGTGCGTCATCGACACCTTTTACCGACTACAGCAGAAAATTGTTTTATCGATATTCTAGCAGTTGGTGAGTCAATAATGAAACATACATCTCAATGGATAACGCGCTTAGCGTGATACCGGTGTAAAGAATCTAAACCAAAACGTCTTTTTCTATGCAAAGAACAAAGAAGTTGTTATCCATTACAGAGAAAAAGCATATATATATATATATATATATAGCATGCTTACACAGCCATTGGATTTGTACTGACGCTCCTTGTTGTTGTTGATATATTTGATTGGTGTTGAAGATGCCATTTTACTAGAGGTTTGTATACATCCCATTTAGTGAGTGAGTGAGTTATTATTTAACGTCACATCGGCATTATTGCAGCCATATCGTGACGAGGAACATATTTGACATTGAAATGGAATATATGTATATTATAAAAACCTGTCGACATGAAGGACAGTAAAACAACTAGAATATCACAATTAGAATTAAAACTCAAAGCGTGGAGAGTTAAAACTAATAGCACTGGACAATACAATATAAAAACAGGCTATAGATCGCCAACAACTGAAGGTAGATCCACCAGAA